GTCGTCCTTCCCCGGTCGAGCCGACCCGTTCGTGCTACAACTATACTACTAATATAACTGCAGCATTGCACTACCGCGTATAAAATGCTTAAACGATTTAACTGATTATGACAATTAATACGCATATTAATTAAGAACTGTCAGTGAATAATGAGCTTAGGGGAATGTTGCAAGCATAGCGACGTAACTGAGATAACGTTGACAAATAGGACAGCAGTTTAGCAAATCATATCTCGCTTATTGGCATCGAGTACCGTAGTTCACGCAGCGTATCATTAGACCACGCGACAAACAACACAAGTTTTCTAAAGTCGTGAATATATTAAACAAAACCAGTGTGAGACGTTATTGTGTATGCTACAACTTTTGCACAAGAATAAGGACACAAAAGAGCATACAGGCCACCTGATGGAAAGTAGATTTTGTAGTCCATAGATATCTACATTTATCCTCAATTAGGAATTAAAATGCAGATCTGTTGTCAACCCCAAGGACTAATATGGAACGTTTTCAGTAAAATGGGTCTCCGGTTCTCTACACTCACCATGCGAAACACAACAGCATTAATCTGCTATATCACGCTGGTATTTTGTGTAACGTCCATGTTACACCTATGCCGGTAGTTGTTGGGGACACTAAGCTCGAAGTTGTTGTCGAATATGCTTACCTGGGACAAATAGTCCGAATAGGTAAGTCCAACTTTGACTGAGAGGTCAATAGACGGATTCAACTTGGCTAGGCAGCGTTCGGGAAATTACGGCATATCTTCTCGTCAGGTATACCTCAATTCTTAAAAACTAGACTGTACAACCAGTGCGTGTTGCTAGTGATGACCTATGGAACTGAAACGTGGTCCTTCACTGCTGACTGTATGAGGAAGCTCAAGATCACTCAGCGACCTGTGAAGAGGGCTATGTTCGGGTTTTCTCTGCATGATAAACTTGTAAATGAGGATATCCGCAGTAGAACCAGAGTTACCGACATAGCCCAAATTATTAGTAAGCTGAAGTGATACGTTAAACTTATTACGGCAAAGTCAAGAGGAGAGTTATGATGTCGTCACATAAAAACAACATGGCGGTGTTTAGTAAGTATATGAATAAATTATGATCCATTATGAAAATATGATTATTTTCATGATGGATCATAATTTGTAATATGATTGTTGTTTTTATGTCGTCACATAAAAACAACATGGCGGTGTTTAGTAAGTATATGAATAAATTATGATCCATTATGGAAATAATCAATTATCAACATCACTTGCAGAAAATGAACCCCTATTATTCTCATTCTCTTGTAACCGGTAGTTTACGTGGTAGAGCCATACCTACGTGGTAGAGCAATGCTGCAGCTATATTAATAGTATAGTTGTAGCACAAATGGGTCGGCTGAACCGGGGAACGACCACGCTCTCACAGAATACCAGCGTAAAATAACAGCTTAATGCTGCTGTGTTTCGTATGGTGAGTGTAGAGAACCGGAGACTCATTTTACTGGAAAAGAGGGATTCTATCTTAGTCTTCATGGCTGACAACGCATCTGCATTTTAATTCGTAAACGAAGATAGATGTAGATGTATATGGGGCACAGCAACCACTTACCAACAGGAGGACTGTGTGCTCGTTTGTCATCCTTATTCTATAAAAAAAAATATTATAATTATATTCAGTTCTGTTATTCATTTATTAAGGATATGCAACGAAATTAACTGTTTATATTATTGAATACATGTTTATTACGTTCTAAAGTAAATAGATAATAGTAACTCTAATAACAGGTAACCACAGCATGCATGAAATACATCACAACAAGTTTAAGACGCAGTAACATATTATGTCAGTGATAAAAAATAAAAAAGATAAAATTACTCTAAATATAAAAGACATCAGTTAATTTGAAGCTTAAACATCAGTGTTTTATATTTTCATTTTGAATTTGGAAAGGGAATCATTGAATATGTCAAGGCTATCAGTGTTTTTTTTTGCGGCGAGTGATTGCTTAAATTAGTTTTGTTACGACAATGGAATAAAGGACGCGGTCGAAGTACTACGTGGTACATAAAGAGCGTATTTATCGCCAAGAACCGGATACTGTATTTAATCATTTTGTGTAGAAACATTTATTAGCTTATTGATTATCTCTTTTAGGGCTTAAATAAGTCATACCAAATACTTAATGATTTCTTATATTTACGCGAACACTACACATAGCTGACGTAAAGCACCAACGTTCCGGGAAGTCTGCAGTTTGTAATCATATCCTAGACGGACCTCGCCATAACATTAGATTTGATAAACCACAAATTCTTTCCTAACAAGGATGATACGTGAGACTATTGAAATTAAAAAACATCCTAATTTCAAAAGAGAGGGAGGTTGGGTACTACCACCTGCTTGGGATCCTGTAATTCATAAAATTAAAACTAAACCCAAGCATACCACTGCAAGACTTCAAGACACAGTAAGTTCATTCTGCATAGATCGGACCAAAATTAATAATTAAAAAAGCTGAAGGTACTCCGGGTTAACTCTGGCATCGGGACGTCAATCACCTCAGTCCCCCGTGACCATGGTTGCTGGAAAGCAACCGAAACGTCGGGAATATAAAATAAGTAAATTAAACGCCATAAAATCCGTAAAAAGTAGTTTTATTTAATTCCAAATACTGTTACCCAAGCTATTATACAAAAATATTAGCAACCATTTGCTGCCCCATTGGTCCGGTGGTCGTAAACGCGACTGCAGATCATAAGGTGGGTGGATGGGTTCGAGTCCCAAGTCGGTTCAAAACCAGTTATTGGGTTCTTCTGTCAAGAAATTCTCAGTAGCTGAGTCGGAGCCCGGAGTCAGGAGTTTTTGTTTAGTTGACGGTGTTTCATCTAAAATAAGTGACCAGCTGCTTTGCGTAGGCTCGTACCTTGGCAAGCTGGCCTCGAAAAGTATACAAAGCCGCCTTCTGCAACCTGATTTCTCTCCGGTCGTGTTAGCTTACCGACCCACCGAGCTATGAGTGAGGGAATACTGCCTCATTGGTCTAGTGGTTGTAGTAGTGCGACTGCTAATCATGAGGTCCCGAGTTCAAATCCCGAGGAACATGTGGTATAATATACATATTAAAGATCTCGTTAAAATTTAAAAAAATATTATATAGGAAAACAATTTTATCAATATAACAACCTAAAACAACTCCTGCTATTTCATGTGAATTTGCATTATGGGTTTTTAAATTGTATCAAAGTTTTATTACATAATTTTCATTTCCCAATCTGATTAGGACTGGGATACTGTTAAACTAAACACTAAACTAAAATATAGGCTACGTAATATAAAAAGTCGATCTGTTGATAATTAATGCGATAAATATAAAATAATTATTTGTTTATAGAGTTTATACGTTACAATAGAATTTGACGTCAATCGATATTGTGTGATGTTTTTTTTTAATGAATATACTTAAATTTAATATCTTGTATATGTCACTGCGTATCCTTCAGCGCTTGCTTAGAATTACGTTTTCATATCATATCTTGATGAATACACTCCCAATTGAATAATCTGATGTTTTGTGGATCTGGTGTTGTTGATATTACGCGCCGTTTTAGTATGTCCCACGTATGCTTGAACTGATTAAATTTGGTACTTCGCGCTGGCCTGTCTAACAGGCGAATCTCAAGTCCTAACCTCCTGACATAATATGCGCTTTGTCATTTTTAGAACAATCCACCGAGACGCATTATCCATAAAAATGGTTTATCTTTACATAGTAATATATAATGTGCATATACATAACTATCTACATAAATATACATTACTATTTAGTTATATGTAACAAATATAGTTACATAGTACTTAATGTACCTATATTTATTGTATCTGCATTAAGTGTGTGTGTGTTCAAGGAAGCCTTTTTAGCTACGGAAAATTAGAAGCCGCCAGTTGTTTGCATTAGGGGTTTATAAGGTTTTGTTGTTATAGAGTCAAAATATTGTGCATTGACATATTTCCGCAGTGAGCCCATGATGATGTGACCGTGTAATCACTTGGGGGTCGAAAGAGGCGACAGAGAGAAATGAAACACGTCTTAAAATAATAAAAAACTGCCGTCGTCAGTCAACATGCCCACCGACCGTGGCAACTGCGGCTAAAGCTAGGGTTCCCACGGCTTGCTTTCTCACAGGTCAGACCGCGCCAGGAAAGACCAACAGGCCGTGGCAACCATCGCATCCGATGAGGCCTGCGGTGGCCTGTTGGCGCCCGTCTGATCCATCGGGAGACGGTAAGTTCAAAATCGCGGCGTGACGGTGCCTGTCGCGGCCTGTACAGGCGCGTCTACGTCGGTTGCAATCGTTCATTTCAACTACGGTGGCGCCTGCGCGTACACGCTCATGATGGAGTGGACGAACGAGCTCATATTCGGGTTTTTAACTCTATGAGAAAATGAATCAACGCTTTTGAATAGTTCGTCGCCTCAACATAAAAACAAGAACAACCTTGATCGGCTTTTGTTGAATGACGGCACCCATCAGCGTCGTTTCTTCTGCTTTCATTTTGCTTGGTTTATCAAATGTTCACCACTGAATAAAACCACAGCGGCTGCATACGCAGCCATGCGCTCCGTATAACTTAACATGTTGGAATGTCAGTCGACAGGCCGCACCAGGCCGGCACACGCCGTGCGAATGCTCAGTACGAGCGGCGACAGGCCCATTCAGGCGGGGCAACGCCTGGCGCGGTCTGTTGCCTGGCAGGGCGTGGGACCCTACCTTTAGATGCCGCCTATGATTCAATAAATGGGGTAATATGGTTCAGCAGCGGACTTTTGATAAGCTGAATGAAAACGAATTATGATATATATATATTTCAACCCATATTTCTTTGCTGTCAATGCTATACGTTATATTGTTTATTTTATTACTAAAATAACTAACAAAGTGGCCGTTCGAACGCTATCTGTTATTATAAAATATTTATTTATAATCTCTGTCATGTGCGTTTTAGGTCTGTGCGGCGGCGTTCATACTGGTGTGGCGCGCCGAATTCGACGCACATTAACGGATCGCAATGCGGAAGCCCAAACCCACAAGTTGGTCTGTATCGGCGACAAAGCACGGTCGATGCTCAGGTCAGCCTACTCCGATCATATGCTACTGTCTGTTAAACAGGTTAGTTGAACATAATAAACGTGATTAAAAAGTCACAGCCTATAATCGTATATTATAGACTGGTTAGTTATAGCTGGGCATAGACATTTTCTCATTTCTGATAGATTTTTAGGGCAAGGAATAATTCGACATGCGTGTTGGCAGACTTCACATGTATTTGAAAATATTTCTTTTTAATTTCTCAGACATACAGGTTTTCTCAAGATGGGTTTCCTTCGCCACCGAGCACGCAGAAAATCACCGCTTGAAACTTTCATTGATGCAAGCGGGCATCGAACGCGGTGTCCCCACTTAACTGTTATTTGCTTGAAAGTAAAATTACAACCTATTAAAGTTCACTGCTGAACATAGGCTTGCTTCGTAGGAGGGATATTTACCATAGTATGCCAAACTTGGTAGGAGCGTTGGTCACCGTGGTTTTTTTTATTTCAAGTTATCAAGAATATGCAGCTGTCCATCTCCCGTTAGAGTTTCTCTCTGTCGCCTTTTATGACACCCACGGCATGATAATATGTGCTCGTGGATTATCTTACGCTGCGTATAGAATTCCTATATTAATGTACAGATCTCGAATTTCTGAAAGGACTACGACCCAAGAAGTACCAGCGCTGAACCAGAGTGAATAGACGATTTACTTATGTTTTAAAACATTTATAGTTAATAAAAATATTTTAAAATAAATTGACTTATTTTATAAAAAAATATAAATTAATAATATGTTAAATACTTTAAACAAAATCGTCAATTAATTATTTTTTTTTTATCTAGATTGGTCGCGTAAGTCCAATATTCAAGGATGCTTCTACTGTAGCTAATGCTATTGCCGAATCCGGGTTTCCTTACGACATGGCTGAAATCTATTACAACAAGTACCATAGCCCCGTTAAGTACGAAATATCTACCTTACCTGTCTTCAACAAGTACAGTATCGAGGTAATTCTTTATTACATTGAGTTGATAGTTGACGTCCGTAGAATACAATCTTCTGCGCCGTCATATATGCTAGTTTTCGATATGAATAATAAAAATATTGCGAAAGAGTTGCAACCAGGCACAGATCTCATATTTGATGAGAGGACTATATAAAAGTAAAGGAATATCTTCAAATTAGATGCAGGTTCCCCAAATTTGAGGGACGACCTGGTAAGATATGCAGAGAGTCGGTCGATGCAGGTGACTCAGGACAGTGTTTTGTGGCATTCTTTGGGGGAGGCCTATGTTCAGCAGTGGACTTGTGAAGGGCTGTAATTGTGATGATGATGATGACTGCAGTGTCACAAAGGTCGAGTGACATTTTTTTTATAGAAGTGCGGCAAACGAGCATGCGACTCACCTGGTGGAGATGGTCGACCGCCGCTTTCGAAGAACTGCAATACCAGGTCGGCAGGCAGGCAGCATTTACTGCGTAGCATACCTTTTAAAAATGAATAAACTCGTTTCTTGAAGGTCCCTAAGTCGTATTGGTGCTGAAAACTCGACTTCCGATGATGTATGGCTTTTATATCGGACGTGAATTACGCAAACTGGTGAAAGGAGCAACATCATGTGCGAAAGCGTGGTGAATATAACAAATCTAGGTTTAAATATAAATGAAATTAAAGTGTTTGTCTTTAACATTGAAACAACTAGCTTCTGTACAACTCACGGGGTTAAAATGCATGCTATTAAGATATAAACAACCATACTTGAAATTTTTGTTTATCCGTTTGTCCGTGAGAATTTTTGGAATAGCGAAACCGATAGTGATTAAACTTTACGAATATATAGTAAGCAATGCCAGGAGTCATCTAGGATAATGTATATTATCCGAAAAACTTGGAAGTTGTCTTTTGGAAAACCAAAAATTGATAAAATAAATGGAGTTCAATTATCTTATAGATCCTATCAAGGCGAAGCCAGGACGGGTTGCAAATACTACTTAAAAGGAAGATATCTACTCATACCCAGCTTGCAGATATGAAGAAGACCATGTTCGGAGTTTCTCTGTGTGATAGAATCCGTAATGAGGATATCCACAGTAGACTCAAGTAACCGACGTAGCCTAACCGATCAACAAGCTGGAGTGGCAATTAGGCCAGCCATATACGTCAAAGAATCAACAATCGATGGCTAAGAAAGATTCTCGAGTGGCCGCCTCGTACCGGTAAACGAAGTGTAGTGTAGGACGGTGCCCCCATTAAATTTAGGGACGACCTAGTACAGCAATGCAAGCGATGCAAGTGACTCAGGATGTGTTTTGTCGCGTTCCTTGTTCTATGTTCAGCAATATACTTGTGAATAATTGTATTAATTATGATGTTGACGATAAGACTTTTACAATACTCCCATATAAACCATACAGCGACCAATTAACATCTTTATTTCTTCAATTAACCATTTATTTCTATTATATCTAACAGGCGAATCTCAAGTCACACGTAATATGAATAAAATTTCTACTTTAATAAAATAAATTTTAAAATAAAAAATCTGAAAATCCTAATTATTAAACAAACTATTTCATACAACAGCCAATTTTATAAAGTTTAATCTATAAGTATACATAAATAAAATTTAAGTGTAGATATGTATGTAATATTGAAATAACTGCCTAATATTTAACTGAGGGGCTTATTTGCATGGCATCGGGACATGTATATCCATTTTTAAACTATTCGTCTGCCTGTACGTGTGACTGTTTACCTGTGTGTCCGGATTAGTCTTCTGAATGGCTAAACCGATGGCAATGACTTCATGAAACAGGCCGAGAGCAATACCAGTAGTGAGCTAGGCTATTTTTTATCCGTAAATTTTGGATATTTAAAAAGCTTAATCCGGTCGTATTATAAAATATTGAATATTACAAAAATCAATGTTTACATACAGATGGCGCCAAACATGCATGCCTTCGACGATATAGAAGAAGACCAGCTCGAAAGTTACGCTGAATGGACGCTTGCAGCATTGCTATATTACGCACTAAAGCAGTCGGCCGCCTCCGAGCAGTCGGCCAGAATGTCAGCTATGGACAATGCCACGAAAAACGCGGCCGACATGATCAGGGATCTGTCGCTGCTGTACAACAGGACCCGGCAGGCTGTCATTACCAGAGAGCTCATCGAAATTATATCGGGCGCTTCCGCTTTGAAATAAATTTATTAAAAACATTTCCGATATTGTTTATACACTTTGTCTCTCTCTCTCTCTCTCTCTCTCTCTCTCTCTATATATATATATATATATATATATATATATATATATATATATATAATCTAGAACTTTTTCATAATATATGGATATTCTTCACTATAAAGAAAAAGAACAAGAAAAAGTGAAACTTCTTTACGACATTTTTTTTATTATAGGAGAGGGGGCAAACGACCATGCGGCTCACCTGATGGTAAGTGACTACCGCCGCCCACGAACAACTGCAACACTAGGGCAACCAGGGGAATCGCCGATGCGTTGCCAGCCTTTTAAAAAGGAATAGGCTCTTTTCTTGAAGGTCCCTAAGTCGTATCGGTCCGGAAAAATCGCTGGTGGTAATCGATTCCACAAGGAAGTTGTGCGAGGAAGAAAATATCTTCTAAATCACACAGTGGTGGACCACCAATCATCCAGATGGTGTGGATGGTATCGGGAGTTCTGCCGCGATGTGCGTTCGTGGAATTTGGCGGCTGGGATTAATCCGAACAATTTCTCAGGGTAAATGCGAAAGAAAATGCAAAGAGAAGCAACATCTCTTCGCAGTGCCAATGAATCGAGCCGATTATACATATCATCCTTCTTTTATTTTATACTAGACTTTGCCCGCGACTTCGTCCGCGTAGATATTATACTTTAAACCATAGGTGATCCAACTTTCATAGTAAATTCCATCACCCCCTTTAGGGATGATTTCCGTGATCAAAGCTATCCTACTTCCTTCTCCGGGATTTAAACTATCTCGATACTAAATTTAATCTAAATCGGTTTGGCGGTTTAAAAGCGTGAAGAGGTAGGTATTTGCTCACGCGGCGTTGAGCGATGTTTTCCCCCACCTCGCTCGCAATACGCCCGACTGCCCTGCGCGAACCGGACCTCACAATTTTATATCGTCGTTACTTTTAAAATATTTAACCAAATTACGTAGTTTAAAAGACAAAGTCTATCCACTATGGATATCAGAAGCGTTTAAAGTATTTATTTTGACAAAATCCATATGTTACTGCAAAATGTATACCTATACATTGGAAATAAAGTATCAAACGAGAATGCCAGATCCTGCCTCTCCTTGTACTAAAAAGGTAAATATATCTAAAATAATCTTAGGAATTTTGAACTAATTTGGGATAAATCGTAATTTTATACAACTTGCGCTAAAATATTATTTAAAAAAGCAGAATTCAACGATTAATATATATTATATATCTTTTTCAGTCTTGCCTAATAACATTTGCGTTTCTTTGTACGAATAAGTAAAGTAAAATAGTAAAACGTACAAAAAGTACTTATTTCTATTAAAAATTATAAAATAATATTTTTATATGACAAAGACTTTTTTTACAGTCCTTGTCATATAAACATAGCATGTATCAATATTTATTTTGTTTTTAAATAAACTATGAATTATAAATCGAAAATAATTATAAATATATCATTACTGAATAACAATCATTGATTTTCGTGCATTTTGTGAAATGATACACACGTCATTGTGTCAATATCGCAAGTACGTATGTCAAATTAATGTCAAATATTTTCACACATTAACTGATTTTTGCTTGTGTAATATATTGATTTGATTCCCGCTTTCTTTAGCGTTGCACTTTTTCCTGCTTCTGCTGTCGACTTATGCTTTTATTACAGGGACTCGATCACCTACTTTTTAACTTACTGCTAGTTACCACGGACATTCCAATAATTGCTTACTTTTCCACGAGCTTGAAAAGAATTAATTGTCATCTTTGCGTCGTTAGGATGTCAGGAAGCATTTTGTGGCCTCATTGCCATCTACAATCTTAACTCTTCTTTCAACATGGAGACCTTTACAACAGGTATGTTTAGTTTAATAGCTTTTTATATTAGTATAGTACGTAAATTTTTGTGCGTGAACTTTCATAAATGTGAAGATATTTTACTAACAACCATGAAACCATGTATGAATAAAGTTACCGCTTATGTAACAAACAATTACAATGAAAGCGGTGTATAGTACGGATCACACAAGGAAAGTTTATTTAAGCATGAATCAAGTAATTTATTACATTAACAAATTAATATTTATAAATCGTAGTCATGTTTCTTAGCTATTTACAACGTTTTATTGAAATTAAGAACACAGCAAAAGCGTAGGACACCTGCTAGTTTATACGTTTATCAAAAATGACTATCTATATACCAATGATGATTATATTTTTCTATTTTGCAAATTACGATTTACAAAAATATATTAAAAGCTAATAAACACAACAAACCTGCTTAGTTTATTATGTAGTACATACACTATGTATAATATATATATAGTCTTTAACTTAACATAATGCGCCCTTTAAATTAACAATTATAGGTTATAATTACTAATTTATAATTTTTATATATAACCAACGGATCTGATCGGTGAAAACAGTTCAACTCCACAGCCTTCTTCTACAGCATTTAAATATAATTATATTTATTTTTCAAAGACAAAACCTACATCGAGCTATTTAGTATTGATTTATACAATTGAAGTTAACGTCTTACACTTCGTTACTTCAATAGCTTCACTCTTTGTCAATGTGATTCTTCGAGGTATTTGTCGTAAGCAGTCTGATCCATGAGTTGTTTCAACTCTTCGGGACTGGAAAGCTTTAAACGAAACAGCCAGCCATCTTCGTAACACGACTTATTTATCAATGACGGGGTCGATTCTGCTGTGTCATTTTTTTCTGTCACCTGAAATGTTAATTTTTTTATTAATACATCTATTACATAAATATCTAATAAGAGAGAGAGAGAGAGAGAGTCAGGTATCCTGCCTGGCTGCCGCCTTGGTCTAGAGTCGTAAACGCGATTGTTGATCATTCGTTCGAATCCCGGGTCAGGCCAAAATCAGTCATTGGGTTTTTCTGTCGATAAACTCTCAGTAGCAACTGAAAGTCAGGAAAGTTGGTGATATGTCACACCGTGCCTCGGAAAGCACGTAAAGTCGTTGGTCCTGAGTCTGATCTCTCTCCGAGCGTATCAGATTACCATCTTCCGTTACAGTGATTGCGTCCATAATAGATTTAATTTCACCTCATCTTGCTATTATCTTTAATACTTGTATCGATTCTGGTGTTTCCAGATTTAATGAAGTATAGTAAAGTAATACCTTTATTTAAATCTAGCGTCAGACTTCATAAAAACCAATTTGGTTTTTATGAAGTCTGACGCCGGTGTTGAGCTTATGAAATATATATTTTAATGCCTGGGAGAACTCACAAGATGCCTTAGGTATTTTCTGTGATCTTTCCAAAGCTTTCGATTGTGTTCATCATGAGACATTAATCAGGCGACTACAACATTACGGTGTAAAAAATTTAGCGCTTAGACTTATTACTTACATATTTAAGTAACAGAACTCAAAAAGTCGTGATCAATGGTAAAGGTTCCTCCGGATCAGTAGTATCAATGGGTGTTCCTCAGGGCTCGATTCTTGGCCCATTCCTGTTTTAATCTATATTAATGACTTACCTTATCTTGTAGGGGACAATCACGATATAGTATTATTTGCTGACGATACCTCTTTATTTTTCAAACTCAAACGGCAGTTAATTAATTATGACGATGTAAATAATGCTCTATCGAAATTGGTACATTGGTTTAACGCCAACAATATGCTTTTAAACGGCAATAAGACAAAGTGTATTAAATTTACAATACCTAATGTAAAACATTCGAAAACCAATGTGCTCTTAAATGGGGAGGAGTTGAGTCTTGTGGATACCACTGTTTTTCTCGGTATTACTATTGACGCGAAACTTCAATGGGGCCCCCATATATCTAAATTAGCAAGCAGACTTAGTTCTGCAGCATATGCTGTAAGAAAGATTAGAAGTCTCACAGATGTTGTGACAGCTAGATTAGTGTATTTTAGTTACTTTCATAGCGTTATATCTTATGGAATTTTGCTATGGGGTAATGCGACTGATATTGAAGCTATATTTATTTTGCAAAAGAGAGCCGTACGGGCGATTTATAACCTAAATTTTAAAGAGTCCCTCAGAGAAAAATTTAAAGAAATAAACATATTAACTTTGGCATCGCAATATGTTTATGAAAATGTAATGAATGTACATACATTACATTAAAACATAAATAACTTTGAGAAGAATAAAGATGTTCATACTTTAAACACCTACTAGGAACAAACATAAGCTTGTAATACCAGTTACTAGACTCCACAGAATCAGTAATTCATTTATGGGGCAATGTATACGCTTTTACAACAAAATCCCAGAACATATTCAAAGTTTGTCAATAAACAAGTTTAAAAGTTTTATTAAAGAAAAACTGTACAAAAAGGCTTATTATAATATCAAGGAATACATAAATGAAAATAACCCCTGGGAATAAGGTGATCGCCACCATGCTGGTTCTATGAAAAATCGTTTAAAAATTGTATAAACGAAGTTATTGTTAAGTGAAATATGTTTGAAAAAAACAGTCCCGCTGGGTTTCTTGCTGGTTCTTCCCAGGACTGGGGCTGTTTTCCGAACCAGTGTTAAATAAAAAATGACTTTCAATAAGTATTATGTAATAATCAATATTGAATAAAAAAATATTCTATTCTATTCTATTCTATTCATCACATTGGACCAAGAGAGTGAAAAATTAGAGAGTGAACCTGTGCATACACTTGCGTACTGTATTCCTATCCTGCGCAGATGGCTAGTCTTCGTTGAGACTGGCCACTGTGACCGAAATCCGGTCTGGAGGACGTCATTATTTTATGCATCATATGTAATAAGAATTTTTGAAAAAAGTCATTTACAAAAAAGCCATAATGTAATTCGCAATGAATGTATTAATTAAATTAAATTGAAAAGTGAAGGGAGGTACTATTAACAATTTGGCAATGTAAGTTAAAAATGTAACTGTAATCAAAAAAAAGTAAGAAAATAATTCTTTCAAATTGTATAACTTTAAAT